CCAGCCTCAGAGGGTTGTTAGGAGAATTAAGTGAATCAATACACTGGACTTGTATACATCAGTATCTGACACATAGTGAATGCTCAAGTATCGATACATCTCAGAACTTGTCTGCTAATGGGTGCCCAGGTTCTCATACTCTCTGGGGTAGGTGTAAGAAGGTCATTGATTTAGAGCTGGGAATGACTGATCTTGCCACTTGCCAGTCCTTAGCAACTGTGGCTGGTAAAGTCCAGAGCAGCCAGGGGCTAAGAGAGCTTGTCAGAAGTCATAAATGCCCATTTTCACAACTTGTATGGTACTTGTCATTTTTTCCCCTAAAACACTTTTTTAAGACAAAGGAAAGAGTAATTACTGCAGATAGCACACAGTATTTTTCTTTTCCACAGCACATTTTCAAAAATTGTGATGAAGAAAATGTATCACCTCAGTGAAGAAACAGCATAAGGAAAATTATTTGCAAAATCGAATGGAAAGAAATAGGGTTCTTAATCTGAAACAAGTGTCAGAAGGAATTATCATATCATGATGAAGTCTAGAGCTCACACCAGTTACTGGAATGGCAGCAGCAACATTCATCTCACACCTTTTCCGTGCTGGCCCTGAGTGAGCTTCTGCTGGATTGCCTGGCAGGTTAGGATTGGTGAATGCATGAGAGATAATAGGCTGTGGCCTAATCGCCCTGGGCCTGATGCTGGATAGAAACAAGCAGGGTCTGACTTGATCTTGTATTTATTCGATGGAACCACCATATTTTTTAAATCTCTTGAAAACATCTCTTTTTCATTATACAGAGCAAGAGTCCTTAAAGTCCTGGGAAGACTTAGCCTTTTTCCATCCTAAGGGTAAGCCACATTTAGATTTTCAGAGATTAAGAGACAACAGGTTTTGGCCTTCCTTCCAGAAGCCCTTGCCTATTCACTCAGGGTGCCTTAAATCAGAATTCAGTTTTCATAGTTTGGGGCATGTCAGAGCTGCTCTTGCTAACACTCTATGCTCTAGGGACACAAAACCTGCTTATCTAGAATGTTAGAATCTACTTGACTCTTAGCACCTTAACCAAGTGACTTTTCTCAGTTTTCTTTTTCCCAGTTTCTTATGACACTTGACCTCTTTTTCTGCTTAGTTTAGGTATATACTTAATTTTTTTAACCTAACCAAATTTCTAGTCCCATCCCTACCTTACTGTTTTCATTATTGATCAAATATATGCTTTGACAAGGTCATAAAGAAAATACTTATTGGCTCGCTGTTTATATTTGCACTCAAGATAACATGTGGGACTGTACTACTCAAAGAATTTGTTGACAACTTTCTTATTATTCCCATATCTTATCAGTCATTAAGTCTTTTTACTTCATAAAAATGCTTTTAGCTCTTTAAGCACTTCATATTAGCATAGGCTAACTGCTGTATCAAACATTCTTCCAAATGTATGACTATAAAATGGCTTTTTTTAAAAGTGCATTTGTTTCTTATGTAAACAGTCCATGTTACTAGTACTAGTGCATGTTAGTCACTGTTAACTGTGTGTGTGTAGGAAAAGAGGAGTGGCAATCCATAGTAGCCAGGAAGGCTCTTCCATCTTCAATACTCACTTTCCAATATTGCCCTTCTGAAGACATTCTGGAGCCAAAAGGGGAGATAACAGGAGGTCTGTCATGAAGGATGGCCCACATCCCATGCACTGACTTCCACTAGCTAGAACTCAGTCCTGTGGCCACAGGTAATAGCAGAGAGACTGGGAAACTAAGTCTAGTTTGGTACCTAAAAAGAAGCAGAGAAGATTTCAGGAGCAGTTAGCAACCGCTGCCCCGAAATTCATGCCTGCCCTACCTTCACAATACCCCTGCATTGCTTCTCAATAGCTTCTCTTACCACCACCCCCAGGTTCTTTATCTTTTTCTTTTCTGTTTATTTTTTTATTGTCTAAAGTTTTACATGTGTCTCCTTTTCCCCCAATTGACTCCCCCCTCAGCCATTCCCATCCCAGGCAAGCCCCCACCACCCCAGTGTCTGTGTCCATTGGTTATGCTAATATGCATGCATACAAGTCCTTTGGTTGCTCTCTAACCCCCCTTCCCCTGCCATTTGTCTCTGGATCTACTCTTGTTCATTAAATTATGTTGATCATTATATACCACATATGAGTAAGATCATATGATATTTATCTTTCTCCAACTGGCTTATTTCGCTTAGCATAATGCTCTCCAGTTCTACCATGCTGTTGCAAATGGTAAAAGTAGCTTCTTTTTATAGCGATGAAGTATTCCATTGTATAGATATAGCATAGTTTTCTAACCCACTCATCGCTGATGGGCACTTAGGCTGTTTCCAAATCTTAACTATGATAAATTTATGCTGTTATGAACATAGGGGTGCATATATCCTTTCTGATTGGTGTTTTTGGTTTCTTGGGGTGTAGTCCTAGAAGTGGTATTACTGGGTCAAATGGCAGTTCCATTTTTAACTTTTTGAGGAAACTCCATACTGTTCTTCACAGTGGCTACACCAGTCTGCATTCCCAGCAGTGCAAGAGGGTTCCTTTTTCTCCACATCCTCTCCAGCTCTTGTCATTTGTTGATGATAGCCATTATCACAGGTGTGAGATGGTACCTCATTATTGTTTTGATTTGCATCTGTCAGATGATTAGTGACTTGGAGCATGTTTTCATATGTCTCTGGGCCTTTTGCATGTCCTCTTTCGAAAAGTGACTTCTCAATAGTTTTGCTGAATTGGCCTCTCATCTCTTACCTAGAGCCTTAGTTCCTCTCCTACCCCAGCCTGATGTGACTTGTCCTCTACTGCTCCAAGGAACAAAGTTCAAACTTCTTAGGTGAAAGCTTTAATGCCTGGTCTCCTCTATAGCCCCATCTCCTACTATTCCCTTGCATAAATCCTTGACTCTGACCATAGTGGAATTATTGTGTGTGTTTTTTTCTAATTCACAATGATAACAACAAACACTGATGTGGCATTGGACATAGTTCATACCAGTATATTAGCTCATTCATTTCTCATAATAACCTTAGGAAGTAGACAATAGTATTATCCCCATTTCATTGGGAAAGAAACATACAGAGAAGTTAAGTAACTTGCCTGAGTCCCTATAGTTAGTAGTAAGTGGTACAGTTTGAGTATCATCCAAAGGGTGAGGATGCTGGATTAATCATTCTATTACACTGCTTCTCCCAATGAAATTGAACATGCCATTCTCTCTTCCTTGAAATCCTTTCTTATTTCTTCATCCAATCTATACTCAAACCTCAAAAGTCAGCTCAATTTTCCATCTCCTTTTGCTGGAAACTGTCTATGACTTCAGTCTGATTTAGTTGCTATTCATCTATGTCCCCATAGTGTCCTGTGAATAACTTTTATCTCTTCCTGCCATAGCAGTGGGTTTATCACCTTTCTATAAAATTCCTAAGGGGATGTTCAACTGTGTATTTTCAATGTCCACACAATGTCCAAAATAGTGTTGTGTAATAGAAATACAATACAAGCCGCATATGTATCTTACACTTTCTATTAGACACATTCTTTAAAAGTAAAAAAGAAATAAGTGAGATTAATTGTAACAATATATTTTATTTAATCCAATATATATTATTATTTCAATATATAATCAAAAATACATAGATGACATCATCTGTGCATTTTTCTGTTCTAAGTCTTTGAAATTTAGTATGTATTTACACATCATCTCAGTGCAGATACTATATTTTCATTGGAAATACTTATTGGTTTTTAGATATAAAATTTACATTGGAAAAAGCAAATTCATATAACCAAGGTATGCCAAACATACTGAAGTTTTTTAATAACTGAAAAAAGTATCAGTGTTTATTTTTTCCTATTTTTTCCATCACCATTTATCTCCCATACCTTCTTCCAGCTCCCACCAACCTCTCTCCCCCACACAATGACAACACTGTGTCTCTGCCCAATGAGTTATTTTTCTCCTTTATTTTTCTTGCTCAACCCTTATATACATCCCAGATCCCCAAACCCCATAGCTATCAGCCTGCTCTCTATCTATGAGTCTGCCTCTATTTTGCTTGTTGGTTCAATTTGTTCATTAGAGTCCACATATGAGTGATATCACAAGGCACTTGTCTCTCTGACTGGCATATTTCACTGATCATAATACTCTCCAGGTATTTCACTGATCATAATACTCTCCATGCTGTCACAAAGGGTAAAATTTCCTTCTTTTTTATAGCCGAGTAGTATTCCATTGTGTAAATGTACCATAGCTGTTTTATCTACTCATCTACTGATGGACATCTGATGCTTCCAAAGCTTAGCTATTGTAAATAATGCTGCTATGAACATAGAGGTGTATATATATATATATATATATATATATATATATATATATATATATACTTTTGAATTAATGTTTGGGGTTTCTTTGGATATATTCCCAGAAATGGAAATGCTGGATCATATGGCAGTTACATTTTGAATTTTTGGAGCTAATTCCAGAGGGAAGCGGGGAGAAAGGGCAGGAGGAGATTAACCAAAGAACACATATGCTTAACCTATGGACACAGACAATAGTGAGGTAGGCCTAAGGGGGAGGCATGGGGAGAGGGAGTCAATGGGGAAAAAAGAGGAACATCTATTATACTTTCAACAATAAAAATAATTTTTAAATCTACATGCAGTTCAGCCAATTATGCCCTGTATTTTTTAAGCAATCACAATTCATAATTTAAAGAAATCTGGCCTCTGGTCCTAGATTATCCAAATAATTGCCTCAACTCATCACTCCTCTTAGCTTTAACAGCATGAGAACTATTACTTATTTCTAAAGTCAGTTACACTATCATTCCCATGAAAAAGTACTGTACAACTTTTTCATCATTATTATTTTATTTTTTGTCTAGGGCCTCTGGTCATTTAAGGAAGTGGGGGGTGAGGGAGGGACAGGGGTCACAAGGAGCAGCAGAGCCCTGAAACTAGTCCCAGGCCCTGCCCTCCAAGTTGGTCACAGTCACTGAAGCAGCAGTGGCACACCCAGTGCCAGGCAGGTGATGATTGCTGCCTTCAGGCTGCCTGAAGGGGTGGGGGCCCTGTTACACAGTTCCCCATGATGGCAGGTAAAGGTGAGGCTATAGGTGACACTCTGATAGGTGACAGGCTTTGCAAGGCGACCATATAAACTGATGTCCATGGTACCTTTCTTGTGGAAGGGGTTGAGGCCTGGTGCCGTCCCTTTGCTCATGAGGCACTCCCTGTCATCTCCACAGGTCATGGGGTTGCCAGGGTAGTTGAACGAATCAGTCAGCTCACAAAAGACGCAGTCCGGGGCTTCTGTCGTGACCAGTGGCAGAGCCATCACCAGGAGCAGTGGCCAGCTAAGGACCATGGTGGCATGGTGGCGGTGGACCTCCTGGGATTGCTGAATGACACTCCGCATGCCCACAAGATTTCTGCCCCTGGTTCTGGCCTCTTGGGGTCAGCACTTGGAATGTCCTTGGTTCCCAATGCTCCGTGTCCCTCTCAGGAGCTTGGGGGTGATCACGGCTCCCAAGTCCCAGGGTCTCTGAAGCTTCCCCGGGACAGAGACAGCCAGTGGCTGCTGCCTCACGAGAGTATTTGTGGAGCGGAATGGGGTGACCTCACAGAACCCTCAAGGTTCCACTGGCCACTCTGGGGATGAGATCTTGGGGGCGGGGGGAGGGATGTCACAATCTGAAGGGCAGGTGTCACAATCTGAGAGCAAGGTCATTTGCCACCCAACCGAGATAAGAACACTACACCCAACACTTGCTATCCTGGCCACTCAGGCTTAGGCTCTGCTGGGTGCTGGGTGCTGATCCTGCCCAGGGCCCATGGTGAGCCCATTTCTCAGATGGGCAAACCAAGGCTCAGGAGGAGAAAGTGACATGCTCAAGGCCGTAGAGCCAGGATTAGACCCCAGGTTTATTTAATTCCAAAGAGGGCATTTATTGAGCTCCTGCTGTGTGCAAGACCAGTGGTAGATGCGTTAAATAAATACCACTATGATAACAGGACTCAGAAGGGCAGGGCTTATCACAGTTCCCAGGCTTCTATCATTGGGCACTGTGCAGAGAGCTCCACCCATGTTTTCTGGTTGGAATCTTTCTACCTATTACCTGTCTCTCAAATGAGCAAACAGGCATGCGGAGCAGGCATAGCCAGAGCCTGGCACACAGCAAGCGCTTAACAAATGAGGGTCAATATAGGAAGCAGCTGAGTCAGAACAACCCCGTGGGTGTCAGAAAATGAACTCTGTCTCTTTTCAGAGGGGGAAACTGAAGCATCCCTCAGTAGGAACAGGTGAGCCCTGGCTTAAACTCAAGTTTGAGACCAGATGAAAATTTAAATATCTTAACATGTTGTCCTCATGGGGTAGGTACCTTGGTGATCCCCATTCTACAGGAGGGATGTTAAGGCCAGACATTAGCAGGATTTTCTTATTTTTATTTTTTTAATTATTGTTGACAGCATTGCAGATGTCTCCCAACCCCTGCCCCCTTCATCCTTTTCCCCCTGCTCCAAGGTCCAGCCCTACTCTAGGTCTTCATCACTATATTGTCTGTGTCCATTGGTTATGCATATATGTATATAAGGTCTTTGGATAATCTCTTTCCATCTCACCCCTTTCCCCCTGAGATATGTGAGTCTGGATCATGGCTACCTGCTTCTAGACCTATTTTGTTAATCAGTTTATTATGTTCATTAGATTCCACTTATAAGTGAGATCATGTGATACTTGTCTTTTTCTGACTGGCTGATTTCACTCAGCATATTATTCTCCAGGTCACTCCATGCTGTCTCAAAGGGTAAGAGGCCTTTTTTTTTTACTGCTGCATAGTATTGCATGGTGTAAACGTACCATGGCTTTTTTTATCCATTCGTCTACTGATGGGCACTTTGGCTATTTCCAGATCTTGGCGATTGTAAATAGTGCTGCTAAATATTGGTGTGCATATATTCTTTCTGATTGGTGTTTCAGGTTGCTTATGATATATTCCTAGAAGTGGGATCACTGGTTCAAAAGAAAGTTCCATATTCTTTTTTTTTTTTTTTTTTTTTTTTTTTTTTTTTGGAAACTCCACACTGTTTTCCACAGTGGCTGCACCAATCTGCATTCCCACCAGCAGTGTGCTAGGGTTCCCAAACAGCACTTGCTGTTTGTTACAAAGTATCAGTTTTTAAATTTATACTTTGAACTTAAATGATTTTTTTAAATTTCAGTTTCAAGCACCAGTGTTTATTGAATATGTTAATAATAATGTAGAAAATTGTCACTGGTTATAATTGAATTTATAGGTCTCCACCCATCACATGCCCCATCTGCCAGACAACCAAGTGTTGTATTACTAGGTGAGACTCCTATTTATTTCCAGGCAGAAATAATTTCAGATATTAAAACCATTTTTGAGGTAGTGCGATAAAATAGCCATCAAACGGTGAATGATGCCAGCTGGCAAGACTTAGTGGTTGAGCATCAACCTGTGAACCAGGAAGTCAAGGTTAGATTCCCTGTCAGGGCACATGCCAGGCTTGCAGGCTTGATCCCCAGTGGGGGACATGAAGGAAGCAGCCAATCAATGTTTTTCTCTCATCATTAATATTTCTATCTCTTTCTCCCTCTCCCTTCCTCCTTGAAATCAATAAAAAATATTTTAAAGGTAAATGATAAACAAATAGTGGGATTTTCATACAATAGAATACTGCTTAGTAATAAAAACTTATTTTCAAAATATTAATCTAAGTGAAAGAAATCAGCTTACAACCACCCAAAGATACTGAACAATTCTGGTTTTATAATAAAAAAAAAAGAGCAAGTTAATACATAATGACATAAAGTAGATCAATAATTGCCTAGAGACAGGTAGAGGGAGGTATAGATTAAATAGGGATGAGAAAATTTAGAAAGAATTGAAATATTTATTCTCTTGGTTGTGAGGATGGTTTCATGGGCCTATGCATATGTCCAGAATGGTCAAGTGGTATTCTTTCAATAATTGTATTTTCTTTTTCTTCAATTATATTTCAATAAAGTTATAAAACAGGACATTAAAATCACATTTCAAATTTTGAGACTAAGCATTTCAGTAGTGTTCTAATTTATACCAACAATCTCTTTCTCTTGCTTATTTATATATAAACATTGTACAAAAGGTATTTTATAGGTCATGTAATATGCCCAAGAATGGTTTCTAACTTTTATAGAATTATAAGGACTGCTCACTTTCCTTCTGCCTTTCAAGATAAAACATCTTCAGAGCAATTTTCATCTGAAAGTGCTGTATTTGGGTGATTACACAGTTTCCCAACCCTGAGTTCAATATATGTTGGTGTATGAGCCACAGTGGCTCTTGGCTAATCAAGAGCATCTCCTTTTGCTATGCTCAGTGTTGGAGAAATGGGGAAAGTCAGCTGAATTTAGAGATTAAGTAAGAGACTCTAAGGCATACCTTTTGATGTCATAAATGATATCCTATTTATTAAAGTACACAATAAGACATCCACAAAATCTCCTAATGAATGGTATTTTACTTTTCCTTCAAAATAATGAGAAAGGTACTTCTCACGTTCCAAGTAAATAAAAATGAATCCTGATTGCTAGATATGTTAAAACTGATCTGTGAAGCAAGAGGAAAAGCATCTAGTTTGTAATAAGTATCTTTTAAACATTAGGGGACGTGTTGTCTGTTTGTTTGTTTTTAATAACCAGTGTAGATCATGAGGCAAGCCGTTATTTCTCAATTTTAATTTGTCTTCTCTATTTGTATTCGCTTATTTAAAAATGCCAATTTATGAATATTAAACATGTAGGTTTCATAACAATCTAGTGTTTGTTTGTTTTTTTTATATCCAATTTAGTTATAAAAAGTTATCACAAATTGATCTCTATAATCTGTCTCTGAGTACCAGATGCCAAGAATTTTGGATAATCAGGTTACTCTCCCCTCCCATAAGTTATTAATACTTCCTCTTTTGAAATGCTCATATCATTGTTCAATGCCTGACTTCTTCACATAAAAGTAATAACCACAAACACAGGGACCACATTATTCTGTTTACCACTTTATCTCCAGTGCCTAGCACCATGACTAGGACATGAAAAGATGTTTACTCAATTTTATTCTTTACCTATTCATGCTGAGACAAAAGTTTTTGAAAGTACTCCGCCACAATTTGTGTAGATTCAAGCCAAATATGGCTCATATTGATATTGCAGATGATATCTCTGTTGTCCTTTTCACAATTCCTCCTCCTCCTGCAATGCTCCTTAAGCTGATTGACAGTGTGCCCTACTACTTATAACATTGACCTTTTAGGGGGTGCACTTGTCACTGCATTTTATATTATAGCTTTATGATGTTGAAGACTATTTCCTGTGATCATGCTGTGTTCTCAGATGGCAAACATAGATTTATTTATGCTTTTGATCCAAGGCAGGAAGTTAACCTTGAAAATGAGTTAAAATTTGAAAGGTAGTAACTCATAAGACTGAGATTTGTAATTTATCTCAGTAAGAAATCTAGAGACCAGATGTGAAGGAAGAGCTAGAAATAAAAAATAAAAATAAAAATCTTGGTTCTGCTGTAACACTGATGTTAACTTGGAACAAGTTGCCTTACTCTCTGGACCTTAATTTTCCCATCTGGAAAATCAAAGAAGGCAAATAAGTGGATGTCCTCCGATTCTCCCTCATTTGCCTGTAGGAGATGTCACTAATCAATAAGTCCTGTAACAGAATACTACACAAGACAATGATACACGCAGCTACCACATACTAATATAGTTAGCACATAGAGGAAACCTCTTTTTCATCCCTAGGGTATGTAACCATTAAGATTCTCTAGCTTTAGAAGCCAAATAGCCCTATTAAATGCATTAAAATTCAAGAGTACAATAAAGAAGATGTGGTACATATATAATATGGAATACTACTCAGTCATAAGAAAACATGAAATACTGTCATTACAGTATAGATGCATCTAGAGAATATAATGCTAAGCAAAAATAAGTCAAACAGAAAAAGCTAAGAACCATATGGTGTTACTCATATGTGGGATATGAAATGAAACTCACAGACACAGGCAATAGTACAGTGGTTACCAGAGGGAAGGGGTTAGGTGGGGTAATAAAAGATAAAGGAGGCCAAATATATGGTGATGGAAGATGATTTTGACTTGGGGTGGTGAGCACACAATGCAATGCAGATTATGTATCCTAGAAATATACATTTGAAACCTAATCTTATTAACCAATGTCACATTTTTTTTTAATTTTATTATGAAAATTTTATATTATGGCAAGTGACTTATAATGTAAGTCAAATATCTAATTTGGCCAATCAAATAGATTGTCCAAATGGTAGATTGG